TAGGACTTGCTTATTCTATAATAAATTATAAAATAAATTAAAATTTTGACCGTCAAATTAACACCTACTACGTCTGTTTGTACATACATATATTAATTAAATGCTATAAATAGTTTATGTGTGAAAATTATTACTTTATCACTACTACACTCTTTACATAAATTTAACAGTTCCACAATATTAAATTATAAATATTATGGCTTTTTAAAATAATTTGCAAATTGCTTGAAATCAATACGCTTCGATTGAATTGAAATGAATTTTAATTTTCAAGTGAATTTATTTAGCAAATTTCAATGTCGGCACAATACATTAATGAAGGATGAAAATATACTAACGCGTGAAGTTTGCATTACGGCTATGCAAATAGCTTTGAAAAAATTAACAAAAAAAATTATTATAAAAATGTGTATGATTTCAAGTATTAAGGTAGACTAGTTAAGTGTCTCAAATCTTAACTATATTAATTTAATAATTTATAGGCTTCATTATAAATATTTTCTTTGACAACATTTACTTATTAATGGAAAAAACTTAAATGACATCGACATTTTAGAAAATTCTGTACATATTTGCCTTTAATATAAATATATATGTAATTATAATAAAAATCATAATAATTAATTAATAATAATTATTAAATATAAATACGGTTATAATTCTTTTTATGAAATTTTTAATTTGACTTAAAGTTCACACTTTTGACTTCTTTAAATTCAGATTATTAATTTTTGCAATATTTCAAAAAAAAACTTTTATATACAAATATTAATTACATCTGTATTAATCCAGTTAAAACTGAATTATCCGGATAGACAGCATCAAAAATTTAAACTAATTAACCCTTAACGCGTATTAATCATTTACATAATATAAATTGAATTTTTATTATAGTGTTTAATGTTTATTATGTTGTCATTCCGTGTTAGAAACATCTGTAAATGTTGGCGCTTGTTAACTTAGCTGTTGTTATTGAACAACATTCATTCTAAGAAATTTTGCAAAATGATTTGTACAGAAATTTTTATATTTCAACAGATCTAAGTGCACACTCAAAATAACAAAATAAGCATCCACTACAAACGGTTTGAAGTTTACATTTTCAAAGTGTCAACCTAATAATAGCTATTTAGTATTAAAACACTTTAAAATAAAAAGTGAAATTTGAATTTACATATGTATTTCACATCAATAACACATAAGACGTGTGTTTGTTTTGTTACTCTTGTTACTTTGTTATAAGAGTACTTCAAGAAACCACTCGGAATACCTAAACAATATGGACATATTGTTGACATCATGCAAACTGGCATCATGCAAACAGGAAATCAAACTCTCTCATCAATATGTCCTGTAGAGATATCAGTCTTGCAGTAGGTTTTCTTACATTCTATTTTAGGTAACCATGCTAGGAGGCTAAATCTCCCTTTCATCCATATCTGCCGCAGTTGTGGTGAGGACGATAAAAGTCCCTCCTACCTACTTTGCTTCTGTCCGGCACATGTGCTTCGCCTCCTTAACACTTTAGGGGTTTTCTTCTTTGAGTATCGTGGCAACGTTCAGCTTTGCCAAAAGTTCTAAATGGTTTTAACCCTTGGGTTTTTAATAAAACAGTAGCACAATGGGCCCATAGACCTAAGTGGATCCCTTGGGATCGCAGGTATAACCTAACCCAATCTATATTGTTAAAAAGTTCTATTTAAGGATAACTCCATTCAAATTTACAATGCACATTTTTTTTAAATATGTAATTAATAACATAATAGATGGGTAAGCAAACCTATATCTATATTGAATTAAATGTGATTATTGTAATTTTAAATAATATTCCTATAATGTATTTTTATACATATATAATATTTTCGTATTGAGCACAACTTTGGAGAAAAGAGGGGAAAAATCATCTCATTATCAACTCATTGAGAACATGAGCAGTCTTCAATTTTAAAAAATATTAAATTACCTATGAGCACTACTAAAAGTCAGTAAGTATTACGTTTATTTAGAATTTAATTTAATTTTAATTTATTTTAATATAATTATATTTATTAACAATTGAAAACATAGTCATAAAATATGTAGTTGAACTTAGTGAAGCCAAATTATCGATATCTGACTTCTGTAACTTATGTGAAATCAAAATAGAAATAACAAAGTTTTATGTATGTTATGTTTATATGCACAGTACCATATTTACTAATATGGTTTTAACCCTAGAACACAGTACCATATTAGTAAATATGGTACTGTGTAAATATGGTACTGTGGACTATGTCATTAAATGAACGAACTGTTGCAATTAAACCCTGTCTGTAATTTGAATCATTAAGTCTTAACTATTTAGTATTTTAAGAGTTTCCATTGCTTTTTGAAAAATAGAGATATTTGTAAAAGTAAAGCATAATTTCTATTCATACCGAGTAGGTCTGCTGACTTTGCCTTAAATAAAATTAAATTTAAAATTTTAATTAAGAAAGTATTTTTTTTATAAAAAAATGATTTTATTTGTGGATATATACATATGTTATGTTATGGCCTACAAAATAATTCGTTCCATACATATGACCACATTTTAAAAAAATATTTAATATCTTCACAGTCATTATAAGCGTTTATTTACATTCTAAATATTTGCCAACAGGTGTTTGACTTACCCCAAAAAGAGTGAAATTTAATTTGCAATTAGTTAAGTTATATTAGAAAATGTGATATAAAAACTAAAAATTATTTACATTAATGCCTGAGGTATTATTAATGCGGCAATCATATGACCTAAATTCAAAATAGTAATGGTCTTTTTTCACGATTACTAAATGTTTAACTTAAATTTAATATACTCGTATTTATGAAAAATAAAATTTATAACGTATTTTTAATTGATTTGTAAAGTTAATCCATTAACTCTTCTCATAAATACGTTAATAATTTGTTTAATAATAAAACAAAAAAGTTCCTAAAAGCAAAACGTGACTGTAACCAAATTTAGCTTTAACTTTTTCTTTTTTAAATAATATATAAGAAAATTGTGAATACATATATATTAGCTTAAATATAATGTTTGACTAATGACAATAAACAATAATTCTTAAGAATTTAGAACAAAACTGAATGTTCGTTCATAATAAATTCTATATGAATTACATAAAAAACTTTTGAAGATCTTTAATTAACCCTTCTTTAAATATTTCACTAAAAATTTCGACATAGGTAAGTGACGTATTATTCAAACTGTCATTACCACATCATTATCATATTTGAAATAACTCAACTCTGAGACAAAGGTTGTAAACATTAACTAATCAAAATAAATCACACACAAATATCTACAAATATTATTTATCTTCAAAACAAATAAGCCATAAACCCATTTCGATCTTATAACGAATAATTATTGTCCTTTACACATAATTTCCAAGATTGAAGAACATTTACATACGCTCACAATTTCCATTATATAGATTATTCACTATATCTAGAAAACAATTTTTTTAAAAGTGAAACAATACTATGTTACATATATATCTGAGCAATATTATTAAATTATATTTGAGAACAAAGAGTAGTGAAAAGGAATTTTACATGATATCTAATATGCTTTTGACAATAAAGTCTTTTATTTCTCTTTTTTGAATTTTGAACAGTTTTTGAG